GCTGCGGTACTGACAACTGCATATGGTTGGGTTCTTCGCCAGGCTATTTTTTTTTGGGTCTGGAGTCGTCGGGGGGTCCCGGCGAGCACTGGGGCTTGCAAAACAGAAATAAACACAACAACATACACAGTGCTGCATTGCTCCTCAGACCAAACAAAAGCTCCAAAACATACACTGGGTTTCCTTGCTCCTCGGACCTCAAAATTTTAAAAACAACCAAATATACACAGTGTTTGGCGCTCTCGGTTCAAGGAAGCACTGCGTATGTTGGGTTGTTTTGGTCTGAGAATAGAAGGACGCTGAAGGGGGAACCACCCCTCCTCCCCCTCACTCCGCCGTTTGGGGGTGCTGGGGGGAGGCAAGCATACTGGTAGATTCGTGTATGTCTATCTATATATACATATACATTGTGATGAGAAACAGGGGTCGTTATTTCAAAGCCAGACGATAAGACGATAAGACGATAAGACGATATAATATAATAAGATGATAAGACGATAAGACTATATAGGGCATCGCTAGACGATAAGACGATAAGACGATATAGGGGCATGCATATAGCGTCTTACCGTCTTATCGTCGTATCGTCTAATCGCCGTATCGTCGGGAGCTGATCTGCAGTTGGCGCTGGGGCAGTTGGCAGCATTGGAGAAATGCCTGTTGAAACCTCGCAGGGCTCAGCAGTGGAGGACGTATTGTAGAAACTTCGGAGGGCGCAGCATTGAAGGACACCCAGTGGAAACCTCAGAGCGCTCAACATTGGGTGATGCCTCGGGGGGCAGAGCATTGTACATGTACATGCAAGTATCTCCAAGAGTCCAAGAGATTGCACCACTTAGCTTGCACCACATAGGTTACAACACATCGACGGCCCCACATATTAAGACGATAAGACTATATAGGGCATCGCTAGACGATAAGACGATAAGACGATAAGACGATATAGGGGCATGCATATAGCGTCTTACCGTCTTATCGTCGTATCGTCTAATCGCCGTATCGTCGGGAGCTGATCTGCAGTTGGCGCTGGGGCAGTTGGCAGTATTGGAGAAATGCCTGTTGAAACCTCGCAGGGCTCAGCAGTGGAGAACGTATTGTAGAAACCTCGGAGGGCGCAGCATTGAAGGACACCCGGTGGAAACCTCAGAGCGCTCAACATTGGGGGATGCCTCGGGGGGCAGAGCATTGTACATGTACATGCAAGTATCTCCAAGAGTCCAAGAGATTGCACCACTTAGCTTGCACCACATAGGTTACAACACATCGACGGCCCCACATATATTGAACCACATAGATTGCACCACATGGACTGCACCACACAGAATGCACCACATAGATGGTACCACGTGCACTGGCCCACGTAGATTGCTTGCACCACGCTGGCTAACTTTTTCTGGTTGTCCTTGCACTCAGGGCAGCGCCAGAAAATGTCCCCGGTTGAAACCTCGCAGGGTTCCTTGTTGAAATCTGGCTGTCCTGGCACTCAGGGCAGCGCCAGAAAATGTCCCCGGTTGAAACCTCGCAGGGTTCCTTGTTGAAATCTGGCTGTCCTGGCACTCAGGCCACTTTCGCCCGAGATATCCTCGCAAGTCTGACCTCGAAGGTTCCCTGCCCCATGGTGTTCAGGCCACTTTCGCCCGAGACGTCCTCGCAATATTGGTTTCCAAGATGCCCTGAGCTAAGGTGGTCAGGCCACTTCCGCTTGAGACCCGCGCACCATGTATGTACACAGGCGTACCATCAACGATGTACGGCATATGTTTCAATGCTTCCAAAATCATTGAAACGCAGGTCCAAATCGCAATTTCCATCATCAAGTTGTTTCACCAGCACCCTCACCATCACCACTGTCATAACACCCATGTGCACCATGATCTTCGTCCATCACCATCCTCGCCATCATCACAAGCATCACCATCAATCATCGCCGCCATCACCATCATCACAACCATCACCATTTATGATTTTCATCGCCATGAGCGTCACTATCACCATCAGCGGTACCATCACCATCATCAGCGTCCTCGTGGTCGTCGTTGTCACCATCATCAGACGATGAGACGATAAGACAAGCTGGTTTTATCGTCTTATCGTCTTATCGTCTGGTGTGGTCCTATATCGTCTTATCGTCTTATCGTCTTATCGTATGCTGCCCCTTTATCGTCTTATCGGCATATCGTCTTATGTCGTCTTATCGTCTTATCGTTTTATCGTCTGCGTGAGATTTAGACCGCTGATCCCCACCACACTGTATATATATATATATAGGTGTATGTGTAAGTATATCTATACATATGTGCAAATATACATGTATTTGTAGATGTATATGTTTACTGGCGGTTTGTAATTAAACACGTTGTGCAGAAGTCAGCAAGCCGACAAGGGACGGACGTGTGTCCGTAACCATTACTGCTCAAGCTTGTACTTTGCGGCCACTGCATATGCAATCACTCGGGCACATTCTCTCGGGGGCGCATCAGTTGGCTGCCGTCGCTGGCGGGCTCGCGTCTCAGTGGGCGAGCCAGGCTGGCAACTGTGTGGTGATCGCAAATAGTATCGGCGACCTGAGGGTGGCCTTCTCGTTCCTCTTCGTCGGCGGGCTGCTACTGGGCTGCATCGGGGGCTGCCTCTGCTGCAAAGCCCTGGCGGTCAGCCGTGGCCGCATGGCGAGCTGTTCAGAGGATCGGCGTGCTCTGGAAAGACGGAGAGGAGTGGCAGACCCGCGTGCTCTTGTGTCCTGGCACGACCGCCGACGCCGAGAGCGACCTCCAGATGACTGGTCTGAGAGCAGCGGGCAAGAACGGGAACATCTGGTACGCACTCACGCCGGACGGGGACGTTTACATTCACGTCCTCGAGCCCCGGGAGTCCGGGGATCGGCGCCGTGCGATCAGATGGGCCTGCCCGAGCGGACCGGGCCCTGGCAGTTCGGGAGGACCTGGCGAGCAGGAGGCAGGATCTACGGTCAGGAGTGGGCCCCGACGCCGGAGGAGTTCGTCGACGCGCTGGAGTTCGCGCTGGGCGACTCCTTGTTCGGAACAGCACCGCAGGTGGCGGACAAGACGGTACCCGTGCTGCGCCGGATGAGCAAGAAGGGGCCACTTCCAGTTGGCGCGGGCTTGGCTGGGGGAGCTCCTCCGAGTAGCTTTGCGAGCGGCTCGGGGGCCCTGCCGTCCGCGGTGGGGATGCGCTGGCAGGTGCAGTCTGCCAGCGGCCCGACGCTCCAGCACCGCCCGCTGCAGGACTACGACGTGGACGAGTACTGCACCGCGGGGGGCTTCGCGCTGGCGTCGCAGGAGGGCGAGCTGCTGCTGCTGAAGGAGGTCGAGAAGGCCTCGCCCGAGGACGACACGGAGGTGGACGCCAGGCTCCTCCCGCTCGTGGAGGTCGAGGGGGTGCGCAAGCGGCACTTCAAGGACTCGCTCAAGACGCTCACGGAGACGGCGTGGCGGGAGTGGCCCGTGCGCGGTCCGCGCACGGCGGTCTGGTGCGCCAAGTTCGTGGGCGACCAGGACAGCCACCCACGCTCGAGGCATACGAAATGGAAGGCCGAGTGCGGTCTCACGACCGCCGACGTGGGGGCATCCGAGCACGAATTGTGCATGCGTGTGTTGGAGTTGGCCATTACCTTTGATTAGTTGAACATTGGGGAATTGGCCAGCTTCGAGCTTATGCTCAGGCGGGCTCAGATGACGGAGTGGAGGCACAGGGGGCGCGCGCTTGGGCGCCCACTCCTGGACGACACGGCGGAGGACGAGTTCCTCTACATGGGGGCGGCCGAGACGAGGGGGCTGCTCATGGTGGCCCCGGAGCTGCAGGCCCACATCTCGGACGAGCTGCACCGCGAGTCGGCGGTGCTCAAGGAGAGGCGCAAGCTCCGCGAGGAGCGCCTGGCTTCCCGCGGGCTGCCACCAGCTGGCGGCGGCGGGGGCTCGGCGTCCGCGGCGGCGATGGAGACGAAGATCAAGCAGCAGGCGGCGGAGCTCTCGAGGCTCCAGGCGAAGCTCAACCACGGCGGCGGGGGCGACCCGGCCACGTGGGAGAGGCAGGCCGCGGCCAAGGGCCGCGGCCGGGGCACCTAGGCGCCCTGATGATCGCGCCGCGGGAGCTCCTCCCCTTGAGGGGCCCTGCGGCTTCGGGCGCCTTGCCAGCGCTGGCAGGCGTCAGTCGGGCTGTGCGGTCGCGTGCTCGTCGGCGCGCAGCCTGCTCGTCCTGGGCTAATGAGATCATCGATGCAGTCAATAATGCGTACTTCCACGGCGAGGTACAGCAGCACCACGCCGTCTCAGCTGGGCAGCAGCTCGCCCTGGACCACATCCGTGACGTGGTGCAGCGGGCTGGGCCGCCCATGATCGAGCCCGCGGCAGCCTTCCGAGTGCCGTGCGGATCGGCGCCAGGGTACACCGGGCCCTCGGCAGAACATTCACCCTATCGACGAGGCGCTGTCTCGTCGCCGGCACCTGGAGCTGACCTTGCCCGTGGTGACGTTTGTCTTCGTGGACCGGCATTGCAAACGTGGACAGGGTGGCGAGACTGTCTCTTGCACCCCAACCCGGACCTCTCTGGGGCAGTGCGGCCGTACTCGGACCCCAAGCTGATCCGGGACAGCGGCGCGCACGCCGAGTTTTTGGTGGATATGGCACGTTCAGGGCTCGTCTCCTTCACGAGCGAGAGGCGGTCCACCGTGGGAGTCTTCTTCGTAAAGAAAGGTCCAGATCGTCTTCGACTCATCCTGGACACTAGACGAGCAAATGTTTTTAGATCCTTGCCACACCCAGCTCTCTACACCGTCGAGCTGGTCCTCACTTTACATGCCACCAGAGGCGGAGCTGACGATGTCGCAGACCGACGTCAACAACGCGTTCTACCGCATCCAGCTGCCCCCCGGCATGAACGACTAATTGATTTTGCCCAGCATCGACGCCGAGTGGATCACCGAGGTTGCTCCAGATCTGGCCCCTGGACTCCCCGCGGGCATCCGCGTCTCCCCTCGCATGGAGGTGCTTCTGATGGGGTTCAACTGGGCGCTGTTCTTCTGCCAGGAGATGGTCCGCGCTGCCGCGGAGGACGCAGGCTTTGCTGACAGTCGGATGTTCTTGGATCGCCACTCAGTTCCTGACATCGCCACCGAGCCGGGCGCCGCCGTGTACGTCGATGGCGTGGCCGTGGTGGGGGCGGACCTGGAGGCGGTCGAGGCCGGCGGAGCCGTCGTGGCCAAGCAGCTGGAGCAGCGCGGCCTCCAGGTCAAGGGGGTCGAGGGCCCCTCGGACTCCCAGACCTTCACGGGGATGTTGTTCGATCGGGCCTCTGGCCGCATCTCGCTCAGCCGCGAGAGGATCTGGAGGCTGCGCGCGGTCCTGCTGTTTGCTGCGGGCCAGCGCTACCTGACTGGACGCCAGATGCGGCGGCTGGTCGGCCACTACACGGGGAGCGCGACTCTGCGGCGGGAGCTCCTCAGCGCCTTCAGCGGCGTCTACGCGTGGGCGGAGAGGGCGGGCGACAAGAGGTGGCGCCTGTGGCCTTCAGCCGAACGAGAGCTTCGACAGGCCGCCGCTCTCGTGGCCTTCACCTTCGTGGACCCGAAGCGCCCGCTCCACGCCGCGGTCGTGGCCACCGACTCACTCCTCGGGCGCCGGGCAGGGCGACGCCGGCGGCCACGGCGTGGTCACGCAGGAGTGGCCCACGGAGAAGGTCCGCCGCTGCTGCGGGCATGCCGAGAAGTGGCGCTACGGGGTGCAGGGGCTCGTCGCGGCCCGAGCGGCCGCGCTGGGCAGCCCAGCGGACTCCTGCCCGCCCCGCCCTGCGGCGGAGAGCGGCGAGAGGACCGCGGACTTCGAGAGCATGACGCGGGGCGACATCGGTGCCTTCGAGAACTGGAAGTTGGTGCGCCGGGGCCGATGGGCCCGGGCCGAGGGCGTCCTGAGGACCGAGGGCAGGGCATGCATGATCGGCCTCCGTCACGAGCTGAGGTCCACGAGTACGCACGGAAAACGTGCACTCCTTCTTGTGGACAACATGAGTGTGGTATTGAGTTTGGGTAAGGGTAGATCCAGCAGCCATCAGGTGAACCGAACATATCGTGAGCTTCTTTGTTTGTCGGTTGTTGCCAACCTCCAGGTCGTGGTGAGATGGGTCGCCTCAGAGTTGAACCCTTCCGACCGCGCTTCCCGACTCCTGGGCTCAGCCGTCTCGCTGGGCGGGGGCGGGCCCTGCGCGGCGGGGGGCGATGTTGCGCCGTCCGAGGCCGTGCTCGCCAGCCGCTTCGACGCCGAGCTGGGGAGCGCGGCGCGCAGCCTTGGGCCCGCCAGCGGCGGGGCCGTCTGCGGCCGCCCCCTCGCCGGCCTTGGCGACCAGCTCGCTGCTGAGGAGGCCGGGCGCGGCCCTGTCGCCGCGGGCGCCGGCGAGCTCAGCGACAGCTCCTCCAGCTCGGGGGAGAGCTGGCCAGCCGGCGTCGGCGGCAGCGGCGGCCAGGAGCCGCCGCTCACGGGGCGGGCCGACTGCGGCGCGACCGACGCGAGCAGCAGCGCACGCCCTGCGAGCCCGCCGCGGCCAGCAGGGGCGGCAACACCGGGCGCGGGAGATCGCCGAGGCCCGGCGCCACGGCTTCACCAGTCTCCAGATGGCCAAGATCGGTCCTCGCTCCCGCGCCCAGTACCAGAAGTTTCACCAGGCGTTCCTGGATTGGAGCAGCCGGGAGGGGCAGCCGCTGGACACCGACCTCCAGATCGACCAAGCCCTCAGCAGGTACATGGACTACTTGTACTACGAGGGCTTCAACGCGGACGCGGGCGAGAAGGTGCTGGCGGCCGTGGTTTTCCATGGCCCGGTGGAGGGCATGGAGCTCCCAGGAGCTCGCCGGGCGCTGGCGGGGTTCCGGCGCCGGGCGAGCGCGAGGGCCCGCAGCCGACGGCCAGCTCCCTTTCGCCTTGGGGCTGGTGCTGGCGTAGGAGGCGCGCCTGCGGCCGCCGTCCGACCTCGTGAGCATGGTGGGCGCCTCGCTGGTCAAGCCAGCCGCCCGGAGCCCCCGGGCGCGCTGGGGGCTGCTCCTGTTTCCTCAAGAGGGGGAGGCGCGCAGCAAGATGGGGCACTACGACGAGGGGATCATGCTGGACGGCCAGTTCGGATCCACGCTAGCGCCTTTCCTTCGCCGCCTGATGTCCCAGACCCCCGACGCCAGCCCGCTGTGGTCTTCCTCGAGCGCCACCTTCCGGCGCTTGTTCAACGAGTATGCCGCGAAGGTCAGCCTCGGCGGCAAGAACCCGCACCAGGTCCGGCACGGCGGGGCTTCGCTGGACGCCCTGGAGAGCCGGCGCAGCCTGAAGGAGATCCAAGAGCGCCTCCGACACCTGCGCGAGTCCAGCACCCGTCGGTACAAGAAGGGGACCAGGTACCTGGCCGAGGTCAACAACCTCGACGGCCGGGCCCGAGCCTACGGCGAGCTGGTCCTCAGGCAGCTCAACGGGGTTCTGAGCGGGCGCGTCCGCCTCCCGCCGCCGCCGGCCCTCGCCGGCGCCGCGGGCTGTGGACTGGGCCCGTGACGCGCCAAGGCGACACCCTGGAAGCGGTCGAGCGGGCCTCTGACGCCAAGGTGGTCCGACACCTCCGCCAGGGGCTCGCCAGGGCCAGCCGGCGGGGCCGGCGCCGTGGGCAGGTGTTTCTGGACCTGTTCAGCGGAGCTGGCGGCGTCGCGAGGGCCTTGGAGCGCCACGGCGACAACGGCTGCCCGCAGGTTGACATGGAGGCCGGCGCAGCCTTCGACTTGACCCGCCGTTCGGCCCAGCAGCTCAAACTGGGCTGGATGGCCGGCAGGCGAGTGCGAGGCCTCTGGATCGCCTTCCCTTGCACGACCTGGTCAGCCGCCTCTCGGCACACATATCGTCGCCCAGGAGAGTTCCGAGGGCGTGACAATTTGACCCCAGAGCAAGAGCACAAAGTGAGCCTTGGCAATAAGACCCTTGCGGCCACTATCCGTTTCATCAGAGCTGCTATCATGAGACAGATCCCAGTTGTTATTGAGAACCCTCTCACAAGTATGGATTGAGAACCCTCTCACAAGTATGGCCTGGCAGGTCCCTGAAATGAAGGGATTAATGGCACACCGTAGTTGTAAAATAGCTGTTGTAGACCAGTGCATGTTTAACACCCCCTGGAAGAAGCCCACACAACTTGTAGGCTGGAATGTGTCAGATCCGCCCGCCCCGCTGGTCCAGCGTTGTCGTGGGAAGTCTCTGTGCTGTAAGACCCTCCGGCCGCACCTCATCCTTGAAGGTCGCCGGCGGACTGCTCTGGCTCAGGCCTACCCGCGGGGGCTGGCGGAAACGGGCGCTCGATGGCTGATTAGAGCAGCCGACAGCATCGAGCACACACATGTCGGGAGGTTGATGTTTTAACTGTTTCGTGCTCTGAAGTGCAGTGGCTGATTAAACATATACATACTTGAGAATGGGAGTGATTGCGGCATGGCCAGTAACATGAATGGGCTGTGGGGGGCTTTTCCCCGAATAATCCTTCTGCCGACTCGGGCCCTGGAGACGGCTCGGTCGCAAGTCTCGTGACAGCATAGGTTCTCCCGGTTGCAAAAACAGTGCACATTGGCGGTTTGTAATTAAACACGTTGTGCAGAAGTCAGCAAGCCGACAGGGGACGGACGTGTGTCCGTAACCGTTTTTGCTCAAGTTTTTACCGCCTCCTCCTCTCCTCCTCCTCTTTCTTGCACTTTCACAGTGGGGGCTTTTCCCCGAATAATCCCTCTGCCGACTCGGGCCCTGGAGACGGCTCGGTCGCAAGTCTCGTGACAGCATAGGTTCTCCTGTTTGCAAAAACAGTGCACATGTATATGTATATGTGCTCCTCTTCTGCCGCTGAACGCTTGCAGGCCAGCTTCTTCCAGCACGTGGCGTCCATCTCTGGCGGGAGGCTCTCCGAGATGAAGCCGTTCGAGTTGTGTGGGGCTTGGGCCGGCTGGCAAGCAGCGCCGCTTTACAGTTGTTGTCCCATATTTTGTATTGTTATCTTCTCCTCCGATTTCTCTTCCATCCCTCTCGTGTTGATCATTGTCGATTCTTCGTCGCACCATCACATTTGTTGGTATGGCGCTCTGGGCTATATAATTGAGACTTGCTCACATCGCACGATCCTTGAACTTGTTCAAGAGGCTCTTACGAACTTCGGGTCTGCTCTTCAGGTACCCGTGAGGGCTTCCAATAATGTCTTCATATCATCTTCATGGATTGGTAGCTTGAAGAACGTTGTACTATTTGATCTGGTTTTCAGCCGGGATTGGTACCCAGTTTGCCGGGATTGGCACAGTTTCGCTAGGATGGGTGTTTTTTGGTTGGGATTCGTCCCAATAGTTTGCATCTGTCCCAAGCCCTTTTCGCAACCAGCCAGACTCCTCAGACGACATACGGTTTTCGGCCGTTTTGGCGCTCACGACGAACCGCGAGCCCTCACATCATCATCATCAAGTGCCAAGTGTTGACCCGACGGTGTCCGCCAGCAGTACAACACTTTATGGCACGACAGGTCCCGACAGTAGGATGCGCAGCAGCACCACGGAGTGCAGTTCCGACGCCCGAGAGCACGGCGGAAACGTTCCCAGAGGGTTGTTTGGATCAGAGTTCAGCCCAGCTACGTATAGGAGATGTTGGCTTCGGGGATATTTTTGATTCTAGTGAATTCCTCGTCTTCGGGCCTTGGGTAAGAGGTCGAATTTGACGGAGTGGAGGGGTGGGTGGGAGAGGAGGAGGAGGAGAAGGAGGAGAAGGAGGAGGACGACGACGACGAGGGGGAGGGGGGGCAGAGGGGGGAGGCAACAGGGGGAGGCCTGTTCTCTTGGCAAATGCATTCTTCTCCCTGCAACGCTGCTGTCGGGCATGCCCCTCCATAGGAGGAATATTTAAACATAGTCCTTCAAACAATAGTATGGGAACGACTTTTCGATTGTTGTTTGACTATGTTTGTATATTAGTTGAGTATTTGTTTATCTTTCGCCCAAAATCGGCATATAGGGGGGCATGCCCGACCTGATGCAAAGCACTGCGCCCGCACTCCCTGATCTGATGTCTCTGCCCGTCGGGCGTTTCGGTTGCGCGCGACGAGCATTGTTCATACCTCTTTCCCCTGGCCGGGCCCATCCTTGGCCCATGAGCTGTGTATGCGCTTTCCTGGCCAAGCCGGGAGGGCGTATACGCTGCTCCTGGGCCCATAAAAGGGGCCTGGCCAGGAGCAGTGGACATGTATAGGTCTCGCCGCCCTAGAGTTGGCCCCGAGTGCGCCTCCCCCCCCCAGATGAGAACGCGAGCTGGGGAATGCATGTTCGACGTCGGCCGCGCCCGGTGTGGCGAGAGCATGGGACAACGGGCTTGGAGGCCCTCTGGGGCACCAGATTTGTCCCAAAGCGGCGCGCTCCTCCAAAATACAGGCCACAGCATCCTGAACATTGGAGATCGGCAGGACAGTCTGCCAACGTTGCTGTCCTTCACCCCGAAATTTTCAGCGGAGGCTAGCAACTGGATCACGGGGTCTGTTATCCCACCGCCGGTAATCACCATACGATCAGATTTCTTTGTTTGGTAGCCAAGTCTTGGATCAGGGAATAGCTCGACATTAGATGAGCTGTGGCTGGTCAGAATGACATGTGAACAATGTGTATATCTTGTTCCCGACAAGGTCCTGCCTCGCAATGCTGCGTTGAGGCCAGCATGGGAAACCAGCGATCACGAGAGTTGCGCATGCAGTCAAGGTGGTGATCTAGACGACGGAATCTTTGGCGCACGCATTCTACATTCGTTACGTTGATGTTCGAGCCGAGGCCATGCAACCAGCTTCACGGTCGCTCTCATGCGGATCACATTTGCAGTTAATCGGCGTGTTTGCAAGAACAGCGGTTTATTCGCCAAGGTCCAATATGTTTTGGGCGTTTGCCAAGCTCTCATTCGGCCACATGCGCATCTTCGAGGGATTGGCTCCCTACTTGTTGTGTGCAGCTCAGCAGCCACCGAGATGCGCACTGAATCGTTCAATGATCGTGGTCGATGTTTGTCTGAAATCACGCGAAGGTTTCACATGGGCTGTTTTGACATGTTAACCCAGAGGCGCCGTATTGTATATGTATGTACTCGTGTCGTTTGAGTGGCGTGCAGTCGAGGTTGCGTACGATTTTGCACACCACCGCAAAGTGCGCATGCATCCTTGACTTCCTGGTTGCCCTCCAACAACTATGTGCCCCTGCCGATTCTTGCAACTTGATCCAATCAAGTTCACTCTCCTGCTTCGACGCAGGAATCCAGATATGACAGGTTGATATGAGGGAATAGCAGGCCAAATATCCACGCCATCCAATGCTATCTTTCTGAGTTCAAGATCGGCGTCGACTTGGCACAATTCTCCTCGAACTGCACGTGCGGTTTTCGCTGACAGAAGCTGCATTCGTCATGGCATCCACTGCCTGAGAGATGACCGAATGCCAGAAGACACGCAGCGCCCCCTCGCTCGCAGTCTGGCCAAGAAGTTGCGAGGGGTACGAGGTCGGACCCAGCCCAGAGCCTTGCCCGATATTCCACCAATTTGGAAGCCGTCTTCTCCGCCCGCCCCCTCACCCGCTCTCCGTTTCTATCCCTTTCCTGGTCCTCCTTCCCCTCATCATCCCGTCCTCCTCTCCCCCCTCACACCCTCCTTCCCAACTCCTCCCCATCCCCCCATCGCTTCTCTTTAACCCCCATCTCTTCCGCATCCTCCTCTCCTCGCCCTCCCCCCCCACCCACTCTCGCCCTCTCCCACCCCTCCCCTTGCGTTCCTCTCTCACGCCCCCCTCCATTCCCCCAGAGGTCTCCAGAGTTTTTCGGAGGCCTTCGCAGGCCTCCAGATTCTAAGATTCTCGTGGCCTTCCTGAGGCCCCGTAAAGACCCAGAAACATCCAAGAGCATCGCCCATCGATCCTCGAACCTCGAGGCGCACCTCTCCTCGTCCTTTCCTCGTGACCTTTCTGCCTGACACTTCAGGGGTGCTTTAGCAATGCAGCGCCTCGGTCGCCGTCTCTTCCTCTTCCTTCTCCCCTTCCTCCTCCCCCCCGCTGGAGCAATGGGCCTCTCAGTCTCTCGTGCAGGCTGGCCTCGGCACCAGCACAATCCCCACAGGGTCACCCAAGGGTGGCATCATTCCACTTCTTCCCTCATGGTGCTCCTGCCCTGCCTTGAAGCGGGGTGTACTTAATGAGCCTCCTCCTCCTCCTCCTCCTCCTCCTTCTCCTTCGCCTCCTCCTCCTCCTCCTCCCGTCCTCCCTCCTCCTCCTCCTCCTCCTCCTCCTCCTCCTTCTCCTTCGCCTCCTCCTCCTCCTCCTCCTCACCGTCCTCCTCCTCCTCCTCCTTCGCCTCCTCCTCCTCCTCCTCACCGTCCTCCTCCTCCTCCTCCTCCTCCTCCTCCTCTCCTCCTCCTCCACCTCCTCCTCCTCCTCCTCCCCCCTTCGTGGACCTTGCGTGCTCGAGCCGTGCACCATAGCCTTCGTGCTCCTCATCCTTCCAATTTCTCCGTCCCCCCTCCCCCTCACTCCCCATCATCCTCCTCCCTCCTTTCTCCCCTCCTCCTCCTCCCCCTCCCCCTGCCCCTGCCCCGTTTCCCTCCTCCTCCCCTCCTCACCCTTCCCCCCCCCTCCTCCCCCTCTCCGCGCTCACAGTGGGCCCGTCTGCGCATCTGCTTCCTCGGATAAGGGCCGTCGTCTCCTCGCCTCTTCCCTCGCCTCCGGCCCCCTGTCGAGCAGGTTGGACAGGCGTTGGCGCGGTAGCAGCATGCTCGCCTACGGGCGAGTCGACGACGGAGGGCAGGGCAGCGTCTCTCACGCCCCAGTCCGAGCCAGCGGTTTTCTTGGCCACGCAGTCACAAAGGGTATAGAGGGGCCTGCGAACTGAATTGATTGCTGCCCCTCGTCCCACACCCTCTCCACTTTGCGCCGTCCTGCGCCCCCCCGCGCCCGCGCGCTCTCTCTCCCGCCTTGATTTTTCCAGGACGGCGTCCCCGGAAGTCCAGACCCTTTCCCCGGGGCCGGTTTTTCATCCTGAGTCGTTTTTTGACGGTCCCGGGGCCCGGCGAGGTCCTGGAGTCGAAAATAACGAAAAACGTGCCGCCCTGATTCTTTTACGACGCGATCATGTTTGGGTCTCTCGCTTTGCCGGCGGGGCGCGCCCGCGCGCGGCTCGAGGCGACGCCGGCCGGGCCAGATCAGCCCGCAGTGCCTCTCGACGATCGTTTGGGCCTTCGGCACGGCGAAGGTGCACGAGGCTTGGAGCCCGAGTCGGCTGGGGGGCCGAGGTGGCCAAGCATCGTCGGGGAAACGTACCCATCGATCGTTGAAAGTAGGTAGTTTGCGTGTCGCCAACATCGCAGAGCGGATTTCGCTCGGAAAACAATGGGGTGGGCTAGGAGTGTTCTGGAGAATTGCGTTCCGGATTTCGAAATGATTTTCGTGCGGATTCTTTGACAAGGAATGAAGACTAACAAGAAATTCACGTGAAAATTGCTTTATTTTTCGCTCGCCGTTTCTGGTTTTTCATAGAAATCCACCCCAAAATCCGCTGGAGCACGTCTGCAAGGTCGGTGCAGTGATATGTTTGGAGTCCCCGATTCCAATGTACTTTAAGCGCCTTCCTACTTCTGGTCGAGCGGCTTTGCCTTCTCCGTCCTCTTCAGGGGGCGGGCTGACACCCAATCTGGTTTCAACGCCTTCCTACTTCATGTTTCTACCTACTTCTTCCGACCGATGCGTAAGGCATGGGTTCGCTGGAACTCGCGTTTGCCGACGCTCTTGAACCGGCCCGTCCTGAGTTCTGATGGTTCATGGTTCGTGGGAATTGTGCCGCGGGAGGTCGCGTGAAGTTTCAGGATGGGCCTCATCGTGTTTCTGACCGCCACGTCAGGTCACTTCGAGTCCTCCAAGCTCAAGTCTTGCCTCTCCCGGCACTGGTGTTAAGTCGGGCCTGCCCCTCTACAGGAGGAATATTCAAAAATAGTTTGAAAAATGATGCGGTGACGACAGGTTTCTTATTGTTGGTTATTTTGAAGCGTTCTTGGACAATGTTTAAATTTTTCCTCCAAAATCCGCCTGTAGGGGGACATGGCCGACCAAACACTGGTGCTGGTCAGCAGAAATGAGGAGGAGGAAGGAGCCCCTTCGTCGCCACAGCTGGACAAGCGACTTGAAGAGCTGGTCGGCTTCGACCCCGTGAAGCCTTCGGGGGCCGATTTTGACAGAATTTGCCCTCATCCCCCCATGGAAGCATTCCACATGGAAGCAGAAGCACCGATTCAAGCCATGCAAATTATCATGCCAATGTCTTAAATTCCTCAGGTGCAACGATGCGTTCTAACCGACAATAATGAAGGCTCAAGGACAACACATGCCCTCATCTCCCGTTCCTGACCGATATGCTCTAGGCTTACCCAGCTCGGACCCCCCAGCCGCCTTCAGCACCGGGCCGCCGTTCTCGTCGCCCCAGAGTCAGTGGAGGAAGAGACGATACCACCACCGCTGCCCCGCCCTCGTCGCCACAGCTGGGCTCGCCTCGAAATCCTGGTCAGAAGGCACCTTGGGAGAGGTCTGGGGAGTAGTTGTGTTGGTGTTTTGTACCCCCATCACACAGACCCCGCCGCGCGGTAACACATCCCGAGGTTGCACTCAATCTTTCTGAACACCAGGCGACTATGAATGGGAGCGTTCCTTACAAACTGTTTCATTTAGAGACATGCAGCACTCTTGAACGCTTCACCAAGCAACGTCGGACCACACGCATCGCCCTCTATGCACGCACGCGCTCACGCAACTCAGATTGCATAAAAAATGACAACGACGAGCACTCCAAGGAAGAGGATAACGGGGGACAGCGGGAGCAGGAACAGGAGGAGCAGAATGGGTAAAGGGGATTCATATTGGGGCGAGCAACAGCGCCGTGCGCCAAACCTGCCTAGTTCACTCCGCAACTGCGCCCTCCTGCGCTTCGCTCACCAGGGCAACCCGCACGAGTTTGCCATGGGCGACCGGCAGCTCAGGACGGGGAGGGAACATGCACGCCCAAGCACAGGGCCATGCGCTGCGTGAGGCCCCAGCGCTCTGCGCTCTGTGATGTCACAGCGCCGCGCGCCAAGTGACAAGACGGGACCGCGCGCCAGGCGAGCACGAGTTCTCAAGTCTGGTTGTGCGTTTCCCCTCGTGCCGTAGGAGTTCCCTGATGTGGCGGCGGATGCGCAGTTGGCAGCCCCCCCCCCCCCCCGTGGATGCCGCGAGGTCTCCCCTGGGCGCGCGCACAACTCCACCCCGCTGGGCTCCGACGGAGCTCACGAAAGTGGCGACAGTTGCGCAGTAGAGCCCCCCCAGGAAGTCGCGAGGTCTCGTCTGGGTGCGCGCACAACTCAACCCCGCTGGCCCTCCCAGGGGCCCCCAGATGTGGCGACAACGGCGCAGCTTGCAACTACAGAACGTGCCAACAGTTGTGCAGTTGGCAACCCCAGGATGCTGCGAGGTCTCGTCCGGGTGCGCGTGCCACTCCAATCCGCTGGGCCTCCCAAGTACGCGCGACAGTGGTCCGCAGCTATTTGGGCTCAAGGTCGAGCCGTGCCCGCACCCCCCCCTCGCAGAGCTGCGCTCGAGATGTGGGCGCCGGCCCTGCTCCTCCTGCTCCTCGCCGCGCCGGCCCTTGCGGGCGGCAGCGGCGGCGCGGGGGCCGCCTGCGCCGAGGGCGAGGAGGAGGAGGCGCACGCCCTGCTGCAGACTGCCCGGCAGGGTGGAGCCGGCGCAGACGTGGCTGCTTTTGGCGACCCCCACCTTCAGAACGTTCTTGACCAGCGGTTCGGCTTGATGAAACCAGGAAAGCATGATCTGATTACCACGAACGCCCACGGCATTTTCGATTACGCGTCAAAGCAACCGAACCTCAGTTTTTTGTCCGTTCGGTGTCGTGGCCCCAGGTCTGTCTACAATGATAATTGTTGTTTGGGGGATAACTTCAGGGACAAATGTGAAGCATGCATGTGCGCCATCGATGGCGCGGCGACATTGTGGTGCAACCGCGACCAGGACCAGTTCTCAGGCTGCAATCACGACGGCCAGTGTGGTACAAGCAGCGGGTGCTTCAAATTTCTGTTTCTTTTTTCACCATGTGCGGAAGACCAGCAGTGCGCCGCTAATTTTTGCAGAGGTGGACGCTGTACTCCGACGCGCCGCCCCTAAGGGGCCTGCCGGTCCGCCGGCCGGCGGACTCGCGCGTCTGCGTCTGCCGAGACCGTGGGCATCGTTTTATGGCAGCGCGAAGCCGCCTACCAGCATCAGTCGCTTCCTCTCGTCTTGCAACGGCAGCTCCTTCCTGCCTGCCCTCCTCCTTCTTCCACATGAAGACCTGGTCAGCTCCCCGCCAGGCGTTTTCCCGCAATCGGGGAAGCATGCGAGACCTTCTGAGAGTTATCGGTTAAACTCTCACCAACTCTGAAGACCTGGTCATCCCCCCGCCAGGCGTTTTCCCAATCGGGGAAGCGTGCGAGACCTTCTGAGAGTTATCGGTTAAACTCTCACCACAGTTTTGAAGACCTGGTCAGCTCCCCGCCAGTCGTTTTTCCGCAATCGGGGAAGCATGCGGGACTTTCTGAGAGTTAACGGTTAATTTCTCAGCATTCGCGAAAAAAGTACGCGCGAAAGTGGCGACAGCTTCGCAGCAACTGTCCAGAGAACCGCAAGGTCTCTTGTGGGCCCGCGCGCAATTTGACACTGCTGGGCGGCCCCGGGGGGGCCCGATGACGACGACAGTTACAAAGTTGTCAGCCCACCAGGAAGTTGCGAGATCTTGTTTGGATACGCGTGCAGCTCCAGTGTTGCTGGGCCGCTTAGAAGCTCCCGGAGGTGGCTACAATTTCGCTGTTCGCAGCCCCCCGTAGAGCCGCGAAAACTCGTTTGGATTTGCGCACAATTTCGCCCCGCTGGCCCTCCCTGGGAGTCCCTGCATTTGGCGAGCGTTACGAAACTGGCAGCCTCCCAGGAAGCCAGGAGGTCTCGTCTGGACGGCCGCATTTGCCATTACCCTCGCGTGGACCTCGTAGGTCCTAGGAACTCGCAAAAATGGTGACAAGTACGCAGTTGGCAGCCCCCAGAGGGAGCGCGAGAGGGAGACGGGAGACACAAGGAAAAGGGAGGAGGTTGGCTCCCCTCCAACTCGCCGCGAGGTTTGTCAGTTACGCAATCCGAAGCTCCCACAGGAAGCACAAGGTAAACAAAAAAGGAGGCGGGACCGGAGGAGGAAAAACATCAAGAAGAGAAGGAGGAGGAGGAGGAGGACGAGGGAGGGGCTAGACGAAAGCGGCGAGGAGAGAGGATGAGGCGGAATGAAGAATAATATGAGGACGATGGTGTTGAGGAGGAGGAGGACAAGGAAATGGACCGTCGCCAATCCAATATGCATTAACGATAGTGCAGTCAACCTTCCCTCCAAGTTCCCTGTTTCATATGTCCGTATAACGATTAATTTGCACCGCTGGAAGTGATATGTTGGAAGTTTGTCGGCTGAGAATTCTCAGTCGTGCCAGCAAAAATATATGTTTGATTTCAACGTTGCGAATCACGTTACTGTTGCATCCTGACGATCCTGCGTTGTGCCACACCACCAGTTCTGGGACGTCAACACCGCGAATCAACGTGAGTACTGCGCTCTGCCAATCTTGAACCGAGCCAGAACACCGCTTCTGAGACGTCAACCGTAAGTACCAGTTGGATTGTGGTATGTTCGAACATGCGTGCGTCGCTCAGGCGAAAGCCACACTTTGATACAGAGCCATCTTCCATTTGTGAACACCTGGCAATGTTTTGGACCAATTTGCGCGGCGGTGAAGCGAGAGCCATCTTAAAAAAACGCTGTGGCGATAGCGATAGTTGCGAAAGCGATAACCGCATTTTGAAAATGGCTCACTCTCCATCCGTGGAACTCTTGTGCACTTTTTAGACGAATGCTCGCAGTGCTTGGTCGAGATTATCACGTTCACCCCCCTGCGTCCGCGCGACACGCTTGCAACTCTGGGTTATGTTGAAGAAGAGTTGCGCTGCGGCGAGAGCCACATTTTGAACATGAGCCGCCCTCCACCCGCGACGCTCTTCCATTTTTTTACGACATTTGTGCTGCGCTGAGACGAGAGCCTTTTTTTGAAAGCCCGGCCGCCCTGCATCCGTGACAACCCTGCAAACTTTTACGACGAATGTGCGCGGCGCCCCTAGACGAGAGCAATATTTTGAAAGCGGCTCACCTTCCATCCGTGAAACTCTTGCAACTTCGAACGTTTCAAGTTATACGTGGCGAGAAAAACTCAGGCGAAACGCCCAGCTCGCCCTACCAACGCGTCTCAGGGTGCGACAGGGAGGAGTGATTTATACGGAAACAGGATGAAGGCACGCCCATATGCACTTCAGTGTTTTTTTTTTGCCAGGGAAAGGATCGTGGCCGTCCGGGTTCAAAATGTAGCCAGCTTCGGGGCCAGAGCACGATTCCTGAACAAATTCTGCGGAAGTCTCCAGCGAAATGGCTGCTAGATCGCGTCCAGACGTTGCGATCTCGGGCTCCCCGCCCCCCTTGTGGGAATCTTCTGTGGCTCATTTTCAATATTGTTAGAAACCTCCGGGCGAAACAATCCGGTAACGCTATTGGTAAAATCCGATTGTTTTCAATATTGTTTCCAATATTGTTAGAAGCGCTATTGGGAAAAAATCCGGTAACCTCCGCCATCGATTCTCGGCGGTCGACGGCAGAGCTTGTCTCGAGGCCTCCCAGATGGGGTCCGAGTAGATGGGGTCGGAGGATCGCATCGCATCGCCGATGCATCGGCGATGCAACTCGATTCATGCGGAGCCCGATCTTCTCCACGCCGACGTCGCCGATGCATCGCCGACGTCGCCGATGCATCAGCGATGCATCGGCTATGCGGCGCGTTCCTCTGACCCCATACACAGTCGGACCGAGGTACGAGATCGAGGTCGGTCCGGGGAGGGTGCCCCATTGTTCTTCGTGTTTGTTGGATGTTCTTGTGCATCCTGGGGAGGGCGCCCCTGGACGTTCTGTGCGTTTTGGCCAGCGGAGGGTCCCGTGTTCTTGAGGGGTGTTCTCGTGGCTTGGGTCCGATTGCATTCCTATCCCTGTCCTGAACGGGGACAGGCTGCCCTTACCCTCAAGTCGGGCCTGACAGGATGAAGATTCAAAAATAATCCAGAACAGTTAGGGAACCATTTCTTTCAATTATTCCCAACCATCCTGTGGTGTTGGGTCCTCGTTTTGAAGAGACGGTGCCCCGCGTCTCCTTCCTTCCTCCTCCCCCTCCTCCCTCCTCCCCCATCCTGGCTTTTGCTATCCGCATGTCTCTGTTTCGGCACACCCCTCACACGTTTTGTGGCCCCATAGGGAGCTCCACCTAAGGTCCCAGTGGCGGAACTCGCATGGCGCCGCCGCCCCATTTTGGCACACCCCTCACACGTTTCGTGTCCCCATAGGGAGCTCCACCTAAGGTCCCAGTGGCGGAACTCGCATGGCGCCGCCGCCCCATTTTCGCACACCCCTCACACGCTTCGTGGCCCCATAGGGAGCTCCACCTAAGGTCCCAGTGGCGGAACTCGCATGGCGCCGCCGCCCCATTTTGGCACACCCCTCACACGTTTCGTGGCCCCATAGGGAGCTCCACCTAAGGTCCCAGTTGCGAAACTCGCATGGCGCCGCCGCCCCATTTTGGCACACCCCTCACACGTTTCGTGGCCCCATAGGGAGCTCCACCTAAGGTCCCGGTGGCGGAACTCGCATGGCGCCGCCGCCCCATTTTGGCACACCCCTCACACGTTTCGTGGCCCCATAGGGAGCTCCACCTAAGGTCCCAGTGGCGGAACTCGCATGGCGCCGCCGCCCCATTTTGGCACACCCCTCACACGTTTCGTGGCCCCATAGGGAGCTCCACCTAAGGTCCCAGTGGCGGAACTCGCATGGCGCCGCCGCCCCATTTTGGCACACCCCTCACACGTTTCGTGGCCCCATAGGGAGCTCCACCTAAGGTCCGTGGCGGAACTCGCATGGCGCCGCCGCCCCATTTTGGCACACCCATCACACGTTTCGTGGCCCCATGGGGAGCTCCACCCAGGGTCCCAGTGGCGGAACTCGCATGGCGCCGCCGCCCCATTTTGGCACACCCCTCACACGTTTCGTGGCCCCATAGGGAGCTCCACCTAAGGTCCCAGCGGCGGAACTCGCATGGCGCCGCCGCCCCATTTTGGCACACCCCTCACACGCGTCGTGGCCCCATAGGGAGCTCCACCGAAGGTCCTCGTGGCGGAACTCGCATGGCGCCGCCGCCCCAGTTTGGCTCACCCCTCACACGTTTCGTGGCCCCATAGGGAGCCTTACCTAAGGTCACAGTGGCGGAACTCCCATGGCGGCGCCGCCCCATTTTGGCACACCCCTCGAAGGACCAGGATGAAGGATGAGGACGAAGAGGAGGAGGAGGAGGAGGAGGAGGAGGAGGAGGAGGAGGAGGAGGAGGAGGAGGAGGAGGAGGACGAGGAGGACGAGGACGAGGACGAGGACGAGGAGGACGAGAACGCCATGCAGCTGAAACCCGATGATCGTAGATTCCGGGAGGAAAGGTTCCAGAACGGCCACATGATTGGGTCCTGCTGGGACACCGTGGCGCGCTGGATGAACATGCGTGCCCAGCGGGACGCGGACGTCCTGAAGAAGCCTCTCTTCCTCGTGCAGGCCGCCGACAGGTCTGCCCCGACGATGAGCAGGAAGGACGCCGCCAAGATGATGAACTGTGCCAACCCGAAGAACACTGGTGGCATTCACGGACTGCTCCGGGTGCACGTGGGCATGCGGATCCGGCTCCTGGAGGCGCTGGACCTCAAGAGCGGCCTCGTCAAGGATGCCGAGGGGCAGATCGTGCACATCGTCGTGGGCCCTCGAGATCGGGACGACGTAGACAAGGCCGAGAGAGACGGGGAGAAGAGGATCTATCTGAAGCACTTGCCGCTGGGGTTCTGGGTGCGCATGGAGAAGTACGCGAGCGCGCCCTTCGCGGACGACCTCGAGCGCCACGACGACAGCCTCACGGGGGACCTCACGGGCAAGCTGGTGTTCATCGAGCCTCGCACGTCGGAGCCGTTCACCTTTCGCACCTCCAAGGTCACCCGAACGGGCTTCCCCTTCTCGCACGGCAGGGTCATTACCACGGCGGCGTGCCAGGGGCGCACCATGCGCGAAGGCGACGGGGCGAGGGAACAGCGCTCTGGGGCAGTTTACGGCCAGACCTGCTGGGCGCGAGCAGTCCGCAGCCAGACCTCCTCTCGGTCTGTGGACTCTCGCCCTGGGCCGTCGGCTGCCCGGCGCGCTGCTCCCTCGGCCGACATCGCCCAGGCGTGATCCTGGACTGCGGCCGCCAGGAGGTGGGGAACGGCAAGAAGGAGGACGACGACTGGTGGCTGGAGCTCTACGTCCTGCTTTCGCGCGCCACGCGCCACGAGGACCTCCTGCTCATGCGGGCGCCGCGCATCGAGTTCTCCCTGGCAGGGCCGCCGGAGGGCTTGCGGAAGCAGCTGGAGCAGTTTGCGGCGCGCACGGAGCGGCGCAGAAAGGAGGCGACGGCCCTCGCCAGGGAGATTGGCTTCACCGAGTTTATCCGCGAGGCTTGACCTGAGGAGCGGCCCGCCCGAGACTCGCCGTCTCTCGACGGTCTGACTGTTTGGCCTCGCGCCGCGGGCGATCCGCGCGCGTCGCTGGGACCCGCTCGGGGCGACCAGCGGGCGTCGCGGGAATTCCGCGCTGCGCTCTGCCCAGAGCCTCGCTCGCCCCCGTCGTCGCTCTGCCCAACGGCCACAGTCTCGCCCGCTATCACCCAGCCAGCTAGCACCCTCTCTGCTCCGCGCAGCGGACGACCCGCGCGCGTTGCCGGGGCCCCTTTTCGGGGCGACCAGCGTGCGTCGCGGGGACTCAGTGCGGCGCCGCGCCCGCAGCCATGGACATCGGCGTGCACGGGCAAAGAGGCAGAAAAAGAAGGGGAAGTAAGCGGGCGCGATCCTCGTGAGGGGCGTGCCGACATGGGCGTCGACATTGATGCACGCAGACTGATTCGCATGCAGACACATTCACAATCAGACTTACTCGCGCTCAGGCTCACCCGGTCTCAGTCTCGCGCATTCAGAGCGATCGTCTTCGTTCGTATTGGGGACCCCGCCACGCATTTCGGCACGCCCCCTCGCACGGTTCGTGGCCCCATAGGGAGCGCGAACGAAGATGAGATCCACAATCGCGGTATTCACAACTGCATATGGTTGGGCCCTTCGCCAGGCTAATTTTAGACTATGTTTGAATATGTTTTTATTGCGAAAAATCCATCCAAACAAAAATCTGCCTGTAGGGGGACATGCCCGACCTAACCCTACCCAGGATAGGGTCGAGCGGGGCTAGGACGAGGATACATCCCTTCCAGAGCGTCCCGGAACGCTCTCAGAGCGTTTCGGAACGAAGGTTTTTTGCGCTCGAAAGCGCGACGTCCCTCCCCACGCCAAAAATCCATGGACGTCCTGGGGTCTCGGCGTTGGGCTTCTTGCCGCCCGTGAGGCCGCCGTGTTCACCAGCGTGGCGCGCGAGTTGTCGCAGCACGCGTCGAGCATGGGCCCGCAAGGCGGCACCCGCTTCGGTTCAGGAGTCTTCGGATAGTGATCGCTGTCGTATTCCTTGTTTTGCCGATCGGCGCGGGCCCCTTGCCCCCTCCCCCGTGGAGTAGATCTTGATTGTTTTTGGCGCCTGTTGCAGGCAGGTGGAGCCTTCTCTATCGGACGCACTGTTGCAAACAGTCGCACTGAGCAGCGGTCCGGAGCCAGACTTCCCCCTTTCCCCCACCCTTCCGCCCAATGTCGACATGCCGAGTAAGAAAACGCTCACTGAGGGGGTCGACTGCAGAACTAACTTGCCCCAGAATTGCTCGGTGGCATATCATGCGAGCCTTGTGTACCATCTCATGATTCTGTCTTTGGCGTCGACTCGCGTCGATTAGCGTCTGGGAGTCGATGCAATAGCGCCGATGTAGCGTCGATGTGCGTCGATTTAGCGTCGACGTGCGTCGATTTAGCGTCGATCAGCATCGATTCGCAAGAGCCGACAAGATGGTATGGGAGTCTCCCATGAGTTGCCACCGAATCTTCGGTTCAGGAGTCTTCGAGCAGGGGGTCGACTGCAGAATCGACTTGCCACGGATTTGTTTTTTTCCTTTGCATCAAATCCACCAACAAGAAAGCGGATGTAGATCGACCAACATTTGATGTATCTGTGGTCGCAGATTCGACGAGCGCAGATCAATCTGGTGCTACTCAACCTTGTAGTCGATCGCCTGTTCGAAGTCTCGGGAGGGAGAAGGGCGGGGAGGACGGGGGAGCCTGGGCCTCGCAGATGAGGGGTCGGAGCAGACGGGGTCGGAGGCTCGCGCCGCACCGCCGATGCCTCGGCAAGGCGGCTCGGCCCGATCTCTCCACGCCGAGGCCTCGCCGGGGCCTCGCCGAGGCCTCGCCGAGGCCTCGCCGAGGCGCGGGCCCGCAGGGCGGCGCCCCCTGCCGCGCAGGGCGCTGCCTTCTGGTCGGCGCTCGGGGGCCCCTGCTGGGCATCGGGATCGTCGAAGGATGATTCTCTTGTGCGTGGCCTCGCAGACTCAAATCTGATCTAGAATCTTGCCGTATGCCTCCCACGGGTCGGCGCGTGGGGGCCCCTGCCGGGCATCGGGGTCGTCGAAGGATGGCTCGGGGGAGGGGGAAGGGGTCGAGGCCCGTGGGGGTCGGCGTCGTGAAGTGAGCCTGGCGTCGGGGGTCTTGGGAGGCCGCACCCGTTTCGTTGTGCAGGAAACTGAGGTGGTTCGGTAGCAGATCATGGGAGCCGTGTGTACTCTCGTGCAGTCAAGGTTTGATCAGCAGGTGGGCCCTGCCACATTAAGGGTACCTCGTGTCATGTGTTTCCCGACTCGTGCCTTCTACATTCCTATGGCAATGTGGCCCTCGGAAGGGTCTTGTAGCCTCTCGCGCGTCCTCCGATCAACCTCGACTGTAGCAGATCATGGGAGCCTCGTATACCATGGCAATGCCGTCGTTAGAGTGCGTTAGCGTCGGTTAGCGTTGGGTAGTCGATGAGATGGCACCGATGTAGCGTCGATTAGCGTCGATTTGCATCGGTGTCGCGTCGATTTAGTGCCGATTAGCGTCGCCTGGTGTCAGTTCGCGTCGATTCACAAGTGCCAGCATGATGGTATGGAAGGCTCCCATGAGTTGCCGCCGAAGGAGGTGGAAGGGGGGAATGGGGGGAGGACCACGACGGCTGGCTCGTTTGTTCAAGAGTCTCAGGAGAGGAGACGGGGGAGGAAGGGGGAGGAGGACCACGGCGGCACCCTCTTCTGCTCTGGAGCCTCAGGAGGGGGAGCCGAGGAGGAGAAGCCGTAGCAGGACCTTATCTAGGGGGAGACCGCCCCTCACATTTCTCTTCGTGCCCTCTCCCCTGGGTCGATGACATCCCTCTCCTTCCTCCTCCTCCTCCTCCTCCTCCTCCTCCTCCTCCTCCTCCTCCTCCTCCTCCTCCTCCTCCTCCTCCTCCTCCTCCTCCTCCTCCTCCTCCTCCTCCTCCTCCTCCTCCTCCTCCTCCTCCTCCTCCTCCTCCTCCTCTCCTCCTCCTCCCTCCTGCCTCCCTCCTCCTCCTCCTCCCTGCTCCCTGCTCCCTGCTCCCTCCTCCCTCCTCCCGCCCCCCTCCTGCCTCCTCCTCCGCCGTCCTCCGCCCACCCTCCCGCCGCTCGCCGCGCAGAGGGTCGGGGGCCCCTCGCCGCCCTGCCGCCGCCGTGCCGCCGCTGCGCCGCCGCCGTCCGCGCACGGCCTTGCCTCGTCCCGCCGTCGTCGGTCGCCCGAAGGATTTCAAAAAAAACCCTTCGAAGGATTGCAAAAAAAAACCTTCGAAGGGTTTTTTGCAATCCTTCGCCGAAGGGTTTTTTTGCAATCCTTCGTCGAAGGGTTTTTTTGCAATCCTTCGGTCCGCTCGCTCCTCCGCCGTCCCTCGGCGACGAGCGAGGGGGGGGAACATTCGAGGCCCGAGGTCCTCGGGCGGGTTCGTATAGCTTCTCGGCGGTCTGCCGCCCTCGGGGTGCGTTCCGGCGGCCGCGCCCCGCCGAGAGCGTTTTCCGGGGAGGCCCGGAGTTGTCCCGAGCGGCCGCCCCGGAGGTCCGAGGTGTGGCCCGCGGATTGAGCTCAGCGTCGAGCGAGGGGGGGGGAGTGAAGAGGAGAAGACCTTCTCAGAAGGCGGCGGGACTTCTCAGGAGCCCTCGCGCCTGCTGCGAAGTTCTTCTAATTGTCGTCGGGGAAGGCTTCGAAAACTCCTCGGGAGTCCGGGGGGCGTCCGAGCCTTCCGAGGAGGCCCGCCCCTCTTCACTTCCCCCCCGGGCGCGCCGCCCAATCCTCCGCTTGTTTGCTCGGCTATGGGCCACAGGCAGCCCACGAAGCATCCGACGAGCAACGTTGGGCGAGTCTGCCGCGGTCTGCGTCCCGAGACGGGGGCCTGTGTTTGCGACACCGTGGCCTGGCTGAGTTCGGCGGCACGGGCTCCCATGACAGCTTTTGGTGGATAACTCTTGCGCGCCAGATCTTCCCCGCCCTCCGCCCCCTCTTCCTCATCTTGATGCTCTTCCCCTCCTCCCCATCCTCAAGCGGTCCTCTGCCCTCTCCTGTTCTCCATCCCCCCCTTGACCTTCCTCCGTCCGATCATCCTCCTCGTTCCTCGATGCCCCCGTCCTCCGCTCAGGACGGAGGATGGGGAGAAGGGAGGACAGGAGGACGGCGATAGAAGCGATGAGGACAGAGGGTTCTGGGGAGGACGTGGGGAAGGGGAGGGACCGCCAATTCCTTCGGATTCAGCGGCGCTGTCAGTCCGCGGTCGAATCTTAGTTAGCCTCATCTGGCATACCCATCGGTCGTTACAAGTGGGTCAGAGTGAGGGAGCCGAACGGTCATTCATTGTCCTTGGGTGCGTGGCTGAAGTGAAAATCCGTGGTGAGGATTGTGTGTGTTGCGTTGTTGTTGTTGCTGTTGTTGTTGTTGTGTCTGTTGTTGGTGTTGGTGTTGTTGCTGTTGCTGTTATTGGTGTTGGTGTTGATGTTGTTGTTGTTGTGGTGTGTGTTACTGTTGCTGTTGGTGTTGTTGGTGGTGGTGTTGTGGATGCCGTTGTTGTTAATGGTGTTGTTGTTGGTGTTAATGGTGGTGTTGTTGATGTTATTGTTGTTGTATTTGTTGTTGTTGGTGGTGGTATTGTCGTTGTTGTTGTTGCTGTTGCTGTTGCTGTTGATGGTGGTGTTGTTGTTGTTGGTGTTGTTGTTGGTGTTGTTGGTGTTGTTGTTATTGTTGTTGTTGTTGCTGTTGGTGTTGTTGGTGTTGTTGTTGTTCGTTGTCGTCGTTCCCCCCGCGACCCACCCGCGACCCACCCCGCGACCCACTCCGCCACCCACCCCCCAACCCACCCCGCGACCCACCCCGCGACCCACCCGCGACCCACCCGCGACCCACCCGCGACCCACCCCGCGACCCACCCCGCGACCCACCCCGCGACCCACCCGCGACCCACCAGCGACCCACTTGCGACCCACCCGCGACCGATCCACATTGGTTTGAAGAGAAAATCGGTGCCTGCGGCGGGCTTCTCCAGAGTCTCGCAGACTGCCGACGTCCTCACCGCCCCGTCACTCTCAACTGCATCTGCGAAGTGCTACGTATTTTTGGATCCCCAGATTCAAATCTACTTTAGGCGCCTTCCTACTTCAATGATCGAGTGGCTTCACGCTTCACCTTTTCCGTCCTCTTTAGGGGGCGGGCGGAATCCAATCTATTTCCAACGCCTTCCTACTTCGTGTTTCTACCTACTTCTTCTGGCCGATGGGTAATCCTTTTAGTTTGGCTTTGTCCCGGTTCATTTGGCTTGCTCCAGTTTCCTCCGGGGCTCAGGCCAGCTTCATCCAGCTTCACGACCCCTTTATACGGGCTTAGTATATCTTAGCCGCTCTTGCGAACATCTCCTTGAAGTTGCCTGCTGACATTACTCTGCATCTTCAGCGTACCACTCCTGCCTTGTAAGTGTTTGTTGTTTCTTACTGTGCTCCGACGTGAGCTCGACGTGGGTTCGACACTGAAGGCTGGCGCGATGGGACGGACGAAGTCCCCGGGAGATCGGTTCTGTATCCTCTGGTGCGTTTGAGTATGTGGTGTTCCTGGGGCCCGAAATTGTGCGGAAAAGCCTTGTTGGCAAAACATTGCAACACCAGGATCTGAGGGAATGTTCTTCCTCCGCCGTCTTCTTATTATATGTATAGTTGTGGTTATGGTTCTGGTTCTGCTAATGTTATGTTTTTGTTTCTTTTATTATCCTGTTCGTCGAGGAGGTCGGATCCACGGTCGAGGTCCTTTAGCGCTCTTGCCCTCCCGCTATTCCGTTTCTGCACCTCGGGCTCGTCGCCGCCAGGATCTCAGTTTTCTTCCCCCCTTGCCCGCAGGCATCGCGAACACCGCCTGGGCGTTCGCGCGCGTGCGCCGCCAGGAGCTGCACCTCTTCCGCCTGCTCGCAGAGGCCCCGCGCGCGTGTGCGAAGTCTGCCCTCGCGCGCGGGCGGCCGGGGGCCTCGTCGTCATCAGAGGCGGCGTTCTGTTGTTCCGCTTGGCGCGTAGCGGTCGCTACCCAGGCCAAATTCCCCCCCGGGGTAGCGGTGACGATCGTGCGTAGCCGGTGGGCCTGGACCCCCCCAACTTGGTGCTCGAGCGTGACCCGACGGTCGCATCGCACCCTCGCTGAAAGCTTCGGAGTGGAGCACGTCTAAAGCGGCTTTAAGACGTGCTCCACTCCGCCCAAGCGTTGCTGTTACCCGTGGCCACAATCCCCCCCGAGGTAACGACACTTACAGGAAGTAATACATGACCTCAGCGACGCACACTGATATTAGCAAAGGGGTTGATCACAATGACTCTGTAGTGGACCTATCCTGGAAAACTTGATGATAATCCTTCGGCCCTGCCATACGTTCGTGACTTGGGAAAGCTGAAGTGGTGAGACTCCCATGGCCCTGCCACGCGTCCGTGACCTGGGAAGGATCATATGTTGAGAATTCGATGGACCTGCCACAAGCTCGTGGGGAGGGCGAAATGGTGAGAACCCGATGATCCTGCCATACGCTCGTGACCTGGGAAGGCTGGAATGGTAAGAATACTGTCTTATCATGGAAAACGGCTGTCGGACTTACCTGGAAAAGTTGAGGTGGGGAGAAAGAACCTAATGGTACCGCGGCACTTCCTTGACCTGGGAAGGATGGCATGGTGAGAACCCGCTGGCCCTGCCACACGCTCGTGAGCTGGGAAGGCTGGAGTGGTGAGACCTCCGCCCTTCACCAGGCACCACGGCTGCTGGCCTGGGGCGGGCACCCTCTTCCCGCCCCCCTCGTGATGACAATCCGATGGCCCTGTTACGGTCAACGCGCATTGTAAGGACGCGCGCTGTTTCTAAGGTATCCTTGTGTCCTTGCCTCTGCGGCCCGTCCTTTGCCGTTGCCATTTGGGTGTTGGTCGCCCGCCGCCCAACAAAAATCACAGTTTCGGCCTCCAAGGGTCTTGCGTCCTCGCCACCCGTCCTTAATATACGGTTTCACTGTACACGCCCGTGACATGGGAAGGCTGGAATGGTGAGAATCGCTTGCGTTCTTCACCAGGGACAGCGGCTGCCAGACCAGGGCGGGGGGGCACCCTCTCCCCGTCCCCCCCCCCCCCGTGATGAGAAGCCATAGCCCTGACACACTTTCGTGACCTGGGAAGGTTGCATTTATGTGCAGATAGTGAACACGCCAGTCGTTGGAAATAGCTATTTGGGGATTCCCATATCCCAATCTACTTCAAGCGCCTTCCTTCTTCGAGCGTCGAAGTGCGCTTGCTGTATGCTTTGTGATTATCTGGGAGGGCCCGGACCCAATCTACTTTATCCGCCTTCCTACTTCATGTTTTTATTTGTTTCTTCCGACCAGCGAGTACTTTTGCCCGGGAAGCGGCTGCCGAACTTGGGCGGGCACCCGTGACCCGTCCCCCATTCGGAGGTATCGTGTATTTTTTGACTCCACCAGAACCCTCGAACCCGAGGGAGGGCTGGAGTGGGTGGCGTTTGCCGGGTTCGTCGTGGGGGGGGCCGTCGTGGGGGGTCGTCGTGGGGGGGTCGTCGTGGGAGGGCCGTCGGCCGGCGGAGGCGTCGGGAAGGTCGTTGGGAACGTTGTGGGGTGCCTGACCAAGCTCAGCACGCTGTGGCGTGGTGGAGAATGCCCTCTGCGAGGTCCATCCACCGCCCCGCCGAGGAAGGGACTGCTGGCTTCGTGTCGTCGTCGAGGTTTCCAGGGTTCGATGCTCTAGGCTTTCTTTTGTGTATTGTTTGCTTGTGTTGGCCCCCCTGAGCGCCTCAAGGGGCCTTCAAGGTGCTCCAGGGAGATTCTTGTTCCCCCTCCAAACACCCGTTCCGCCTTCTCGCGGAGGCCGGGCTGTCGAAGGAATACATGTTGAAGCACATTCTAGCCGAGCAGATGAAGCAGTGGCGAAGCGTCCTGGCTCGCTTATAGCCCTACCAAACAATGTTCGAAGAACCTGTTGAGGTTTCCACGAAATGTTCTTAGCACATTTATGGTTGAGACTGTCTTGTGTTTAACACATCGGGTTAATGTTTCAAGAACATTGTTTTTGGTCTTAGAACTCTGTGGGGTTCTAAGAACATTTCGTGGTAGGACTATAGGAATGCCAGACGGCTGGTCCCTGCTCAAGCAGAGGATCCACGGCTGGGAGGTCCTTGCCAGGACGGGGGCGGACCGGACAAGTCAGACGTGGACGTGTTGAGTCTGGGTTGACCGAGACCATTGGCAAGCGGGAAGAGATCCGCAGCCGTTCGTGCAGCATTCTTTGGTTAATGGTATGATACAAGGGCGTTGGAGGTCTTTATTAAGATTATCCCGGCAAAGCAACCTAACAGCGATGTGTATAAGCATATCTGGAAGCATTCCCCTTAAGATTCAGGTGAGAATCCAGTTGTAGAATTTTGCTGTTCTCGCAGTCGCAGTCGCATTCGCAATGATAGTCGCAAGTCCTAGGGATTCCTTAGGCATCCTTAGGCATCCTTAGGAATCCATAGGAACCCTTAGGAAACCTTAGGCATCCTTAGGAATCCTGGTTCCTAGGGATTCCTAGGGATTCCTAAGGATTCCTAGGGAATCCGGAGGATTCCTAAGGATTCCTGAGGATGCTTAACTATGCCTACGGATTCCTAAGGATGCCTACGGATTCCTACGGATTCCTAAGGATTCCTATGGATTCCTACGGATGCCTCAGCCTGCCTCAGTTTCAGCCTCAGCCTCAGCCTGCCTCGGCTTGCCTCAGCCTCAGCCTCAGCCTCAGCCTCAGCCTGCCTCGGCCTCAGCCTCAGCCTGCCTCAGCCTCAGCCTCAGCCTGCCTCGGCCTCAGCCTGCGTCAGCCTCAGCCTCAGCCTGCCTCAACCTCAGCCAGCCTCAGCCTCAGCCTCAGCCTCAGCCTCAGCCTGCCTCGGCTTGCCTCAGCCTCAGCCTCAGCCTGCCTCGGCCTCAGCCTGCCTCGGCCTCAGCCTGCCTCGGCCTCCCCTCCCCCCCCCCTCCTTCCCCCCCTCCCCATTCAGCCTCACCTTGTCTCAGTTTCGGCCTGCCTCGGCCTCATCCTCAGTCTCAGCCTCAGTCTCAGCCTCAGCCTGTCTCGGACTGAGCCTGCCTCAGCCTCAGCCTGCCTCGGCCTCAGCCTCAGCCTGCCTCAGCCTCAGCCTCAGCCTGTCTCAGCCTCAGCCTGCCTCAGCATCACCCTCAGCCTCAGCCTCAGCCTGCCTCGGCTTGCCTCAGCCTCAGCCTCAGCCTGCCTCGGCCTCAGCATCAGCCTGCCTCAGCCTCAGCCTCAGCCTGTCTCAGCCTCAGCCTGCCTCAGCATCAGCCTCAGCCTCAGCCTCAGCCTGCCTCGGCCTCAGCCTCAGCCTGCCTCAGCCTCAGCCTGCATCAGCCTCAGCCTCAGCCTGCCTCAGCCGCAGCTTGCCACAGCCTCAGCCTGCCTCAGCCTCAGCCTGCCTCAGCTTCAGCCTCAGCCTCAGCCTGCCTCGGCTTGCCTCAGCCTCAACCTCAGCCTGCCTCGGCCCTAGCCTCAGCCTGCCTCAGTCTCAGCGTCAGCCTCTCAGCCTTAGCCTACATCAGCCTCAGCCTCAGCCTCAGCCTGCCTCAGCCTCAGTCTCAGCCTGCCTCAGCCTCAGCCTGCCTCAGCCTCAGCCTCAGCCTCAGCCTCAGCCTGCAGCCTGCCTCAGCCTCAGCCTGCCTCAGCCTCAGCCTCAGCCTCAGCCTCAGCCTCAGCCTGCCTCGGCGTGCCTCAGCCTCAGCCTCAGCCTGCCTCGGCCTCAGCCTGCCTCAGCTCGGGCATTCAAAATATGGCACAGGACTGGTGTTTTGGGAACACGAAGATCACGAAGTGGCCCACAGTTGGTTCTGGACAATCAGAATATGGTACAGGAATTGTGTTCTGGGAACACGAAGAACACGAAGTGGCCTACAGTTGGCTCCGGGCATTCCAAATGTGGGTTGGGAATGGTGTTCTGGGAACACGAAGAACACGAAGTGGCCTACAGTTGGCTCCGGGCATTCCAAATGTGGCCTGGGAATGGTGTTTTGGGAAGACGACGAACACGAAGTGGCCTACAGTTGGCTTTGGGCATTCAAAATGTGGCCTGGGAATGGTGTTCTGGGAACACGAAGAAAGTGGCCTACAGTTAGTTCTGGGCATTCAAAATGTGGCCTGGGAATGGTGTTCTGGGAATGGATTCCTAAGGATTCCTAAGAATTCCTAAGAATTCCTGAGGATTCCTGGGGCTGCCCCTGTTGTCTGGTTTTGTCCGGATCCCGCCCAGACCCCCCTGGGGCGTCAAGATGCTCTCTAGAAGCCCATCAGCAAAAGCTGTTAGGTAAAAAGGTGTTGAGTTTCGGTGGGCCGAGACCACAGGCGAGTTGAAGCATGTTTGCTGCCATCCTCACCAAGCCAAGCTCTCGAGTTGGTGGGCCGACGCGCGTCGCAGGACTTGGCTCGTGCTGCTGGCGATGCCTGATCCTACCAGGGCTTCTGGGGGGCGTGCCCGTCTGGTCTTCATCATATCAGATCATATCCTTGGCATCGCTCGGACGTGTGCCTGTTTTCATGGGCGAGGACCATCGAGGAGCATCCTGGACCATCAAGCAAACAAAAAAAAACACGCACGACAGCGACAAATGCACGGTGAATGGACGTCCGAGCAACGGTAAGTATCTTGGCCGTCTGGGGAGGGTCGCCATGAAGGAGGAGGGTCCTGAGGGAAACGGGTCCCAAGGTCGGCCGTTTTCTTTGTGGCCTCCCAGGGCCCTCCGCTGGCCCCTGGACGGCCAGAAGATGGCCCAGGAGGAGAACCTGGTCCTGGGGGGAGGCCCCGGGGTCCAGGCCTCTTTTCCAACGGCACCCGTTCCCTTCCTGCCCCTCCGTACTCCTCCGTACTCCTCCTCCTCCTCCTCCTCCTCCTTTTCCTCCTACCTCTTCCCTCGAGGGGTTCTGCGCGGGAGGTCTTCGCGATCCCCACTGCCAGAGTGCAACCTCACGGGGCAGCGGCGAAGCGAGGGTGCCAGATGTCTCTCGACGCTTCGCGCCTCCCCGCCTCCCCCTCCTGAAGCGATGCCCATCTTAGAGCTGCTTTGGTGAGGAGGTCGAGGAGGAGACTGGGCAGGAGCAGGAGGGGGAAGAGGACAACGAGGAAGAGGAGGAGGAGAACGAGGAGGAGGCGAGAAGAGGTGGTGAAGGAGTAGGAGGAGTAGGAGTGAGTAGGAGGAGGAGGTGGAGAAGGATGAGGCGGAAGATGGTGTGTGGGCGTTTGTGTGTGCGCGGGTGTGCGGGCGTGCGGGTGTGCGGGTGTGCGGGTGTGTCCGTTTGTGCGTCTGTATTTCTGTGCGTCTATGCGTGTGTGCGTGTGTGCGTGTGCGCGTGCGTGCGTGTGTGCGTACGTTCGTGTGCGCGTGTGTGCGTGTGTGCGTGTGTGCGTGTGTGCGCGTGTCCGTGCGTGTGTGCGTGCGTGCGTGCGTGCGTGCGTGTGTGCGTGTGATCGTGTGCGCGTGTGTGCGTGTGTGCGTGTGCGCGTGTGTGCGTGTGCGCGTGTGTGCGTGCGTGCGTATGTGCGTGTGCGCGTGCGTGCGTGTGTGCGTACATGCGTGTGCGCGTGTGTGCGTGTGATATGTGTGCGTGTGTGCGTGTGTACGCTCTTGTGGTCGTGCGTTCGTGCTTGTGTGCGTGCGCGCGTGTGTGCGCGTGTGCGTGCGTGTGCGTGTGTACGTGTGTGCGTGTGTGCGTGTGACTGCGTGCCTGTGCGTCTGTGTGCCTGTGTGTCTGTGTGCCTGTGTGCCTGTGGGTCTGTGTGTGTCTCTGTGTGTGTGTGTGTCTGTGTGTGTGTGTGTCTGTGTGTCTGTCTGTGTGTCTGTGTGGGTTTGTATGTGTGTCTGCAGGTCTGTGGATATGTAGGTATGTGTGTATGTGTGTGTGTGTGTGTCAGTGTGCGTATCTGTGTGTGTCTGCTTGTGTCTGTCTGTGTCTGTGTGTGTGTCTGCATGGCTGTGTGTGTGCAGGTCTGTGTGTCTGTCTGTCTGTGTGTCTGTGTGGGTCTGTGTGTCTGTGGGTCTGTGTCTGTCAGTTCCTTTGTGTGTCTGTGTGTGTCTGTGTGTGTCTGTCTGCGTGTCTGTCTGTGTGTCTGTCTGTGTGTCTGTGTGCCTGTGTGTCTGTGTGCCTGTGTGTGTCTGTCTGTGCGTGTGTGTGCGTGTGGGTGCGTGTGTGTGTGTGTGTGTGTGTGTGTGTGTGTGTGTGTGTGTGTCTGTGTCTGTGTGTGTGTGTGTGCGTGTCTGCGTGCGTGCGTGCGTGCGTGCGTGTGCGTGGCGTGTGTACGTGTGGCCGTGTGCGCGTGTGCCCTGGCAGCGCGACCGAGCAGCACAGCCCCCCATCTCCGCCGCTCTGCAGCGCGGTCGACACCTCCACGCGCCCCCAGCGGCTCGACGGGGGGGGGGGGTGCTCATGGAGATCCCCCGCCCCCAAGCAGTGAATCCAGGACGGCTCGCCCTCGCCAGCTCGTCTCGCCCGCCTGCCGCGCACTGCCGAAGGCGACCATTCAGGAGTCCGCGCTGTGGACTTTCAAGCCCCAG